AAATCTTACCTGCCCAAAAGCCGGAGCCCGTCAGAGTTGTCGTCACTTCTACAGCGTACAGCTCAAGAAAGTCCAATGACTTCGTAACTGTAGCACATTTGATTCAACAATGCGTTAAGGAGAGCACAACATGGCATCGTAATGTCCCAGGACTTCTGAGAGATCGGCACTGTGAGGCATCCAGTGTGCGGGAAGGTTGTGCTGTTTTCTATCTCACAGTGAAGGAGCCTTTCTGTTGTTAGGAGAAAATTAGATCAACGGGCTGAAGGTAGCAAGGGCTGAAGGAGAATTTGTTACGAGTGGCCTGGAAAATAGGAAAACCCAATGCACGTTCTTCTGTGTGGCAGGTGAAAGAATCTGCACATTGCACGCCCAGCCCTGAGCATGCTTTGAACCCCCCTTTTTATTTTATCAGTGCTCATTGTCTAAGGCTTTGATCTTATCAAGTCCTCAAGTCTTTCCACCAAGGAATGTGAATTCCTTCATTTCCTTCTCCTCCCCAGGGATGGTTCTCGATGGTCTAGGTCCTTTACCTTGCCCTTTGCTGCTGCGGTTCCCCAAACTTTCATTTCCTTCCGTGATGTGAGCTGTTGTCTAGACTCTCCTGTCGGCCTTCTTTATGGCTGTTCCAAGCCCACAGGGAGACCTTAGAGAATGTGCTATATCCTTTCTTTTAAGATCAACAGGGATGGCCAGGAACTTAGACCAGCCTCAGCTCCTCGCTTCCAGGCCTCAAGTCAGGCAGGGCTACCTTGCATGCAGAAGGACCTGAGAGCCCAGGCTTGGGGGCAGGCTGCTGGGGCTGGGACCTCAGCTCCAACACTTCCTGGCATTTCCTTCAGTGAATGAAGGGGTTAGGGCTTTAAATTCTTCCTTCTGAAAAGTGAGAACATTAAGAATAACCTCCTGCCCATGACTTCCGGTTGACCCAGATCTCACTGCGCAGGCTCCTGCTGAGCTTCGGAGGAGACGGGGCTAGTCTTGAGGCTGTGCTGGAGTTAAGGCACTTTGCCTTCAGGGCCTGGCGCATGGTAAGAGCTGTGTAATTGCTAGCTCTTACTTTCATAGGTTAAGCACGCAGCAAAATTGTCCAGGATATATAGCACATTTTAAATGCTTTTTTTAAAGTGTATTTATTTTTGTTTTAGTAATCTCTACACCCCACAGGGGGTGCGAACTCATGACCCTGAGATCAGGAGTCGCATGCTCTACCAACTGAGCCAGCCAGGCACCCCCATATATAACACATTTTAAAGAAACGTTATCTGGGGCGCCTGGGTGGCGCAGTCGGTTAAGCGTCCGACTTCAGCCAGGTCACGATCTCGCGGTCCGTGAGTTCGAGCCCCGCGTCGGGCTCTGGGCTGATGGCTCAGAGCCTGGAGCCTGTTTCCGATTCTGTGTCTCCCTCTCTCTCTGCCCCTCGCCCGTTCATGCTCTGTCTCTCTCTGTCCCAAAAATAAATAAACGTTGAAAAAAAAAATTAAAAAAAAAATAAAGAAAGAAAGAAACGTTATCTGTTTGTATGCATGTATTATCTATACTTAAATAATATTGGGTGTCATTAATTAATATTAATTAATAGTATTAATATTAGTTATCATAAATGTTTAAATTCATATTTGTTCCTCTAATTGAGAGTGATGAAAGATAGAGTCTCTGTGAGTGGGATAAGAAAGGGGTGCTATGGAGAAGTGAGGAGGGGGCTGTTTTTATATAATTTCACATACACTAAGGTTTTTGGTTTTTTTTTACTGTGTCTGACATCTTTCATTTCTTTTTTACTTTTTTAAATCCTTTTTTCTCTCTTCTGAACCATTGTATACAAATTTGATCCTTTGTTAAATATATCCATTAAGTTTTTCATTTCAGTTATCGTCCCTTTTAGTTCAAGTATTTCTATTTGATTCTTTTTTATGGTTTCTACTTGTCTATTTATAATCTTCATCCTTGTCATCTAATTTAGTGACCTTTCAAATATAGGTATTTTCCAATCCTTATGAAGTTCACTCCAACATCTGGATGTCCCTCGGCTCCATAATTATTGCCTGATTTTTTAACTTTCTGTTTTGAAATAATTATAGACCTAGAATTGCAAAGATAATACGAAACATGCCTGTATCTCCTTCACTTAGCTTTCCCCAGTGTTAACACCTTGACTAATCATGGTACAAGTTTCAAATCTAAGAAACTTACGTCGGCACAATCCTGATATTGAATGGTCGACTTCATCTGGACTCCCCCGTTTTGGTCCTCCTCGCTTTTTCTGTTCCAGGATCCAAGGCATAATATTGGGCATATGCGATGCCAAAACATCTTGTTACCAGTGACACCTTGACCATGCGGCTAAGGTGGTGCGTGCCAGGTTTCCCCACTGTAAAACTACTATTTCTTTTTTCATACTCTTATTTACATGCGAATAGGTCCTGACCACACTGAAGGTGACGAGAGTTAAGATCCACATAATGGAGGGAGGAGTATCAAAGAATTTGTGAAGTATAGTAATTAATTACGATTAGGCACAGTTATTTAGAAATGTTTGGGGAGCCGTACTTAACAGCTATGCCAAATCCTGCTTCTCCTTAAAATTTGGTGCACTAACGTAGCATTCACTGGGGATCTTGCCTGCAAGCAATTATTACCGTGGGATTCTGGTAATTGATTTTCTATTTCTCGGAATCTTTCTGTATGTATTAGTTATTAATGATTTATTAGTTGCTGCTGGGGTATCACTGCTTCAATGCCCTACAAAATACAAAATATCGATGCAAGAAGCTAAAGAAGACCTACTTAAGGAGCGCCTGGGTGGCTCAGCTGCTTGAGTGTCGGACTTCGGCTCAGGTCATGATCTCACAATCCATGAGTTTGAGTCCCGCATCGGGCTCTGTGCTGTCAGCTCAGAGCCTGGAGCCTGCTTCGGATTCTGTGTCTCCCTCGCTCTCTGCCCCTTCCCTGCTCATGCTCTGTCTCTCTCTGTCTCTAAAAAATGAATAAACATTAAAGAAGAAGAAGAAGAAGAAGAAGAAGACCTACTTAAAAACAGAGATCTATTATGTCATAGGCTGGAGAACTCCATATTATCAAGATATAATTCTCACCAAGTTGATTTTTCCCCAAATTATCAAATCGATCTATATTGATCCCACGCTGGTCCCAATGAACATCCCCAGCAGGGTTTTTTTTTTTTTTTAAATAGAAATTGACAAGATAATTCTAAAATTATATTGAAATACAAAATACTTGCAAGAGCTTTAGTAATCAAGACTGTGAAGGGGCGCCTGGGTGGCTCAGTCGGTTGAGCAGCCGACTTCGGCTCAGGTCACGGTCTCGCGGTCCGTCAGTTCGAGCCCCGCGTCGGGCTCTGGGCTGACCGCTCGGAGCCTGGAGCCTGTTTCGGATTCTGTGTCTCCCTCTCTCTGCCCCTCCCCCATTCATGCTCTGTCTCTCTCTGTCTCAAAAAGAAATAAACGTTAAAAAAAATTAAAAAAAAAAAGACTGTGAAATATATGTATGGACAGACGCATAAGTCAAGGTATCAAAATAGAGTTCAGAGGCTGAAATCGAGATTTGTAGAGAGATCAATACAGAGAGAGGTACAGCTAATGGGTTTTAGACAACAGTGTAAGGCAATTGAATGAGGGAAAAGAGTTTTTTTCAAAAGTGATCCTGGAACAATGGACACCCCTATGGAAAAAATGATTACTCTGGCTGTAGAGTATAGCAAAGATCACAGGAGGTCAGGAGTAGATGAGGGCACACCAGCTAGGAAGCTCTTGTTTCCAGGAGAAATAATGGTGGCTTTGCTCTTAGTTAATCTAGTAACTTCACTTCTAGGAATTTACTTTATAGATATGGGAAAATTGACAATGACCTGAATGCCTACCAATAACAGTCTAGTTAAATTACAGTTTGTTTTTGAATAGGATGACAGAAAACTGTTTAAAGAATAACGAAACTCTTTGTGGAATGAGCACTAAGATAAATTCTTTAATTAAAAGAAACCAAGACGCATAGTAGAGTAATTGGATATTTTACACTGTGTCAAAGGACACGCAGGGACTGGGTAGCATGAGTTGCATGGGGGGACAGTAACAGGTTGGCTAGGGGACTGGCAGGAAGGAGATTTTTCAGTGCATACTGTTCTATACGTTCTGATTTGGGGTTTTATATCTTTGTATTACCAATTAAAATATGTGCTAAAATTTAAATTATATTTAAGGGGCACCTGGGTGGCTCAGTTGATTGAGTACCAACTGAGTAATTATAGATTATTTGACTCCGGTCATGATCCCAGAGTTGTGAGATCAAGCCCCACATGGGGCTCTGTGCTGGGCATGAAGCCTACTTGGGATTCTCTCTCTCTCTCTCTCTCTCTCTCCCCCCCCCCCTTCTCTCTCTGTCTCCCCCTCTGCCCTTCCTTCTATCACTCTCTCTCTCTCTAAAAAATAAAAAAGTAAATAAAATAAAATAATATTTAGAAAACAGGAAATGATAGGACTAGGGTGATGGTCATGAAGATGGAGAGGAAAAAAGTCAACTGGGAATTAAAATCAATGGATACGGGGCGCCTGGGTGGCTCAGTCAGTTAAGTGTCCAACTCTTGATTTTGGTTCAGATTGTGATCTCATGGTTGGTGGGTTCGACTCCCACGTGGGACTCTGAGCTGACAGTGCGGAGCCTGCTTGGGATTCTCTCTCTCTCCCTCTCTCTCTGGCCCTCGCCCCAGTCATGCCGTCTCTCTCTCAAAATAAATAAATAAACTTAAAAAATAAAAAATTAAATGAACAGAGAATCGTACACGAATTGAACACACGTGGCTGTATGGGGGAGGGGAAGGGGGAAAATAAAAAGTTACAGACAGGGAAGGAGGAGGACCATAAGAGACTCTTAAATACCGAGAACAAACTGAGGGTTGATGGGGGGTGGGGGAGAGGGGAAAGTGGGTGATGGGCATCGAGGAGGGCACCTGTTGGGATGAGCACTGGGTGTTGTATGACAACCAGTTTGACAATAAATTATATTTAATAATAATAATAATAAAAAGAACATGTGGCTGTAAGACAGCGTGGGGAAGCCTACTCGGTTTCTTGGCTTGTGCCACTTCCTGGTGCAATAGGGAACACAGGTTTAGTGTGTTAAGGCATGAGAAGGGGGCTGGCGGGGGGCACGAAAGGAAGGGAAAAAAACCATGAAAATGGTTTTAAGTATGTTGAGTTTGCAAAATTCCAGAGGTGACGCTGAGTAGGCAGTCTAATGTTTGGATGGTTCTGGAGCTCAGAAGACAGGCCCCCCGGCTGGAGAAGCAAAGCAAAGTTTCCATGTGAATAGATAAGAACTGACGCCAGGGTGTGGATGCGCTGATCTATAGCCGGAGGGGGCACGGTCTCGGAGGTAAGGATTTTATCCTAGGAAAAAAAAAATTAAGCATAATCAAAAACTGGCCTCAGCCATTTAACAAACACATAAGCAAAAATGCAGTTGCAGATGCCCGTAGAAAGCCTTGCTTTGTCCCTTCTAGTTCACGGTGTAAGAACTGAGATGACTTATTGCTGGAACATACATTTACATCAACTGAATGAAGTTAAGTGGCTGGAGGAGCGACAAAGAATAAAACAGCTAAACGTTGAGAACATTTTACCAAACGTTTGAGGCTCGGATGGCAATACTTCTCCATCAGTAGCTTTCTGCTAATGAGTGAGGCGATGGTAGGCCCTTATTATTTGCATATAAAGGAGCAAACGTCTTCCTGTTCTCTGTATCAGGAAGCTGTGCGTGCACCAGGTGCCATGTGGCCTGCTGACTTCAAGGGACATTGAAGAAGAAGGGACTCAGGTACGCAAATAACCTCAACTTGGCCACGGTCGAAGAGACAAATACAGCTGCACAGTGCAGCTCTAACAAGCTGCGGAGAGCAAGGCCCGGGGGTGGGCGGAGGGGAGAGTTGCACACAGTGTGCTGCATGTAGATAAGATCATAGGGAATTTCTCAACACCCCCGCCTGTGTCCCACCCGCTCCTGACCGCCTGATTTCACCAGCGGCCCCAGGCCCATACTTCTTGGCCATGTGGTTCCCAAGACCGCCTCCACCCTGGCAGCAGGAGAGGGTCTTCTACCTCCAGGGGCAGTACCCGGCTTCCCGTCCCCTGCCAAAACAATCGCGGAGTGTGATGATGTCACTTGGGACGGCATCGCAGGACACCACATGCAGACAGATAGCTGTGGCTGTCGTGTGTGAATACAGCTTTATCTACAGAGGAGGTGGCCAGCCGGGCAGGCATCTGCTGACTCTTGCTTTCAATGTCTAGAACGGAAACTAAGAGAGAAGGCAAGACAAGTGGGGCCGGTCAGAGGCAGTTCCTCTCTGCATGCACCCTTGCCCTGTTTGTCTGCTCTCACCGCAGACGTCCCTTCCTCTTGGAAAGGATTCTCCATGGTGCTTTGCAGGGAAAAGGGTCTGCTCTGTGGTTCCCAAGCCTCTACATGTTGCTTTGTTGGAAGGGCTGGGCCCAGGTTTGTCCTCAAGGGAGAAGGCGGTGGCATCCAAGAGGGTGCCCGGTGCATGCGTTTCCCTCACACATACCACCTGGTTCATGAAGAAATGCATTGTTTAGGCAACATCATCACTGACAAGAAAGCCCACCAACATCTATGAATGGTTTGACTTTGCTTGCAGGGGGGTGGGGGCGAGGATTGAGAAATAAACCTCATTCAGCATCACTAATATGCTCATCTGATCCAGAACATTCATAGTACTTTCAGACTCCCAATTAAATCATCATTTGCTGTTTTCTGCAACATTTTAACCACTTTTTTTGTTGTTGTTGTTAAGCTCAGGGCGCCTGCGTGGCTCAGTCTGTTGAGCGTCTGACTTCAGTTCAGGTCATGATCTCACGGTTCTTGGGTTCGAGCCCCATGTCGGGCTCTGTGCTCAGAACCTGGAGCCTGCTGAGGATTCTGTGTCTCCCTCTCTCTCTGCCCCTCCCCTGCTCACGCTCTATCTCTCTCTGTCTCTCAAAAATAAATAAACATGAAAAAAAAATTTTTAATAAAAAAAAAGCTCGACTCTTCGGATAAAAGTCATTTTGCTAGATAGAGGAAAAAATTATAAAATTTTATCTCTCCTCCATGGTATTGCCATAAGTTTAAACGAAGATGCCAAGAGGGGCACCTGGGTGACTCTTTCAATTACGTGTCCGACTCTTGATCTCCTCCCAGGTCATGATCTCACAATTGGTGAGCTCCAGCCCCGCTCAGGGCTCAGCCCTGATGGCGGGAAGCCTGCTTGGGACTCTGCCTCTCCTTCTCTCTGCTTGTGCTCTATCTCTCTCTCTCTCTCAAAATAAATAAACTTAAAAAAAAAATATGCCAAGATACAAAAGACTTGAGAACTATTTGAGTTGCTACTCTGCCTATTTCTCTTTAACGGGTGTAGTAACACTGCTTGAATTTAACATTCCCTCGTGGTTTAGAAAGCCCGATAAAATGTGTGTGTACCTTCCTCAGATGACCAGGAGATGGCGCCCAAGTCAACGCGGGGAATCGGCCTCCTGGCTGAAGGCTGCTGTGAGTCTGCCAGAAAACCAACTGAAGCATGAAAAAAAAAGGAGGGAGAAACATACTCCGAGTGTTTCATGAAATGGGGGGAGTTCAGGACAACAGTCTCAGGATGCCCTCAACATGTGATTAGTTCCTACCTGGGGAGACCGCAGGAATAACGAGAAACGCAAAATAGGAAGAGGCAGAGAGCTAAGGAAAGGGAATGGTGGTATCATGTCAAGTGCATTCTGATGCAGGGGTAGTGCTATCCGGTGATTCACATAGACGATCCTCACCCTCCCGGTCAGGCTATGAAGCAGACACTGGGCGTCCCAAGACAGAGCTCCGTGAGGTCACCTGGGCGGCTCAAATGCTCATCGCGCAGAAGCAGTCACCAAGGCAGGATTCCAACTCCGTTCTGTCTGGTGCCACCGTCCATTCACTGAAAGACATGCGTGTTTCTTCCAGGATGAAGGCGGAGAGGGGCCTATCGAGAATGTTCTCAGGTGCTCAATAAAAGAAGCTTTAAAAGAGATAATAAAAAAATTAGTATAATTAATATAATATTATATAAAGTATAATATAATATTATATTATATATTATAATACTATATATACTATATATATTCTATATATATACTATATATATTCTATATATATACTATATATATACTATATACTATATATAATATATATATTACTATATATATTACTATACTATATAATAGTATATATTATATTATATATAGTACTATATATATATATTATTATATATATATACTATATATATATACTATATATATTACTATACTATATAATAGTATATATTATATTATATATAGTACTATATATATAGTATATATATACATAATATATATATACTATATATAGTATATATTATATATAATAATGATATATTATAATATACTATTATATAGTATAGTAATATATATAGTAATATATATATTATATATATAGTATATATAATATACTATTATATAGTATGTAATATATATAGTAATATATATATAGTATATATATATTACTATATATATACTATAGTATATATATACTATATACTATATATATTACATACTATATAATAGTATATTATAATATACTATATAATATATAGTATATAATATATATAGTATATAATATATAGTATATTATAATATAGTATAATATAAATATAGTATAATATAATTAAATAATATAATTAGTATAATCAGACTAAAAAATTAGTCTGACATTATAAGTAGTGTCTCACCTCAGACATACTAAAAATAAAATGTCCCAACTCATGAGGAGTTACTGTCTCATTTAGCAGTGAAAACTTACATAGAAGAGGAAGTGTAATATGTGTGGCTAAAAGAGCACAACTGAGACGCTAAGTGAAGTGAGAATCTTCAATGTCCCCAGCAAGCAGTGTCTTGCTGATCAAGCACTAGCTTCAGTGACTTTCCTAGCAGCTGAGGAGGAGAAAAGACTGCCACCTTATAAAATGCAAGGGGGGCTCTGTGGTCCCAGCTGCAGCCCTCCCATTGCTCTCAAGGGGGCTCCATTTAGTTGGATGTCTTGAATCGCCAGAGGCTTCTGAACGCATCTGAGATGAGGTGTATTTCTCTACTGGTCAATTACACCCATATGTATCCATATTGTTTAGAAGTTATAACAAACAATAGGTACCAAGTGTCTACTTCCTGCCCAGCTCTGCTCAAGGCACTTCCTCAGGACCCCCTTCCCATGCTGACCACACAGGAACAGAAGACTTCTGGGTCACGCCATCCTGGATCCCTGAAGCCAGGCTTCCCAGCTGGGTGCTGGGTTACCCGACCTCCAGGGGCACACCTTCTCATGTGTCAACTGTGATTGCATCTGGCTCATTTGTGGGCGTGATGACTGAATGAGCTAAGATTTCAAGGGCAGAGTTTACAGGTCTGTGCTTCCAACAGCTTTAAGTGACATAGAATAACCTGGAAGCAAGTCATGTCACGGTAAAGGAAAATTTCTTACCTGATGGTACACTTAAGAGTATGTAATTCTGTTCCTGTTTTCCATCATGCTTTTCAAAGTGTCTTGGTAGGGCCTCATCATGTATCAGTGAAGTAGGAAGGGCAGAAACGATTTCAGCCCTGTTTCAAAGTCACAAAACTTGAGTCACAGGGCTAGTGCTTGGCCACTGAATGCCTAAGCTCCAAACTCTTCAGATGGATGGAGAGGAGAACGTGGACCAACAGATACTTCGGAGTTAGAAAGGAACTGGTGTTGGGTGGGATGTGATGATGAGGGGAGGTTTCCAGCCTGCACACCCGTGTAGATGGTGAGGTGGGAAATCAACAATGCAGCCTGAGGCACATCCCACCACCAAGAATGGCATGTGACTAGATGGCTCTTCTTCCCTAAGTATTCAGCCACAGAGGAAAATCTAACAATGTCCTCTGGCTCTCATAAATTTTGTTTTAGGTGATTTCTACATCCCAAGGACTCTTTTTTATTATTATTGAGAACGTTTTTTAAGCTTATTTGTTTTGAGAGAAAGAGAGTGACGGGGGGAGAGGCAGAGAGAGAGGGAGAGAGAGAGAATCCCAAGCAGGCTCCACACCATCAGTGCGGAGCCCGATGTGGGGCTTGAACTCATGAACCACGAGATTATGACCTGAGCCAAAATCAAGAGTCAGATGCTTAACTGACAGAGACACTCAGGTGCCTGGAAAGGACTCTTTTTACTTACTTTCTGCCATGGAGGCTGAGAAGTTTCTTGACAGAACCCCTTCTGAGGCTCGGCGGCCGCATATGCTGGGGAGGACATTTAGCAACAGCCCGCTCTGACAAATGTCTTCCCTGGTCCCGAGGCAGGGATGCAGTTGCAAGAGAATCAAAGCAAAGAAACCAAAAGCAACAGTGACTGGCCCAGGATACAGCAGAGCTCCAGAAGTGAAGGAACACGCTACTTGCTCTGCTGGCTGTTCCTACTCCCAACCCGGGGTTTCCAGGTGTGCATTAAGACATGACTTCTCCTCCACCTCAGTTCTCATCACGCTGTGGAAGCGTGTCATTGGAACAATCTCCACGGGGCCAAGCCAGGACAATTACCTGGACCCCTGCCAGCCTGCTGACACGTGGCCAATGTCAAAGACTGCCCCTTCTGCTCTCTTCCAGCTGAAGCCAGAGCCCTGACATCTGGATTAGTTTATTGATCCACTTATCCATTCATTCAGTAATCAAATATTAACTGAGGCCATCGGGGCCAAGGTGCAGTAGACCCTGCATTAACTGCTACTCAAGGAGAAGGGAGAATGTCATCAGAACTAGACTTGATCATTGCATGAAAGTGACATTGACTAGCATGAAAACAGGAAGAGCTTGAGAATCGTTCCACTCATTCAGTCTACATAATTAAGCGCTATTATACTGGAAAGCACAGCATATCCTAGGGGTCATTGTTGAGGGTCATTACCAGCTCATTAGATCAATAGGCAAACCTCTGCATTGGCTCATTTTCTGTTAAGCTTATTTCCTAGGATGACATTATCGTTAATGTTGTTTTAAATCAGAATATATAGGGGCGGCTGGGTGGCTCGGATGGTTAAGCCCCCGACGTCAGCTCAGGTCAGGAACTGGCAGTCTGTGAGTTTGAGCCCCGCGTCAGGCTCTGTGCTGACAGCTCAGATCCTGAAGCCTGCTTCAGATTCTGTGTCTCCCTCTCTCTCTCTGCCTGTCCCCTGTTCACACTGTCTCTCTCTCTCTCTCTAAGAATAAACATTAGAAAACACATTAAAAAAATAATAGTAAATCAGAATATATATACAAAGAAAATTAAAAGTATATGACCAAGATAAATTGAATAAGCTAATATTTTCTCTTAATTACTTCCATTTTATGAAAAGGATCTACTTTTTAAAACTGATCCTGCATTGGAAAATCAATCCAATTCTTTCCCTTGTTGCATATTGTGCTTGGATTCTGTGCACAGAATCTGTTCTGGGCAGGAAGAAGTGCCCTCAGACCTCAGAGACCACGATACAGAGAGACCCTGAGAAGCCAAGTACTGAAATGTTGGGGCTTCAATAGGCATCATTACGTGCACTATGGTCTTGTTCTGTCCAACTGAAGTCTTTTCCCATGTGATACTAAGGATTTCTAAAGCTCCTCCATACCCTGGATTTACCCCACCTGCATTGAATGTCGTCTTCCAACTGCATGGGATGAATCTACTCGGCCAACTGGAGATTCATTACAAAATTATGGCTCTAGACTCCCAGCCCAAAGACAAGAGAAACAAGGCCAGAACCCGAAAAAGAAGACGAATTATGCTCACTGCTCCCTTTCCCTTATGAATTCCACTTGGGCAGACCCCTGAAATTTGCAACTACTAGGGAGAATGTTGCATTTGGAAGTGCCAAGAACATGACGATGTCGCGTTTGATCTCCCCATGGTGGAATGATTTTAGATAAACCTGCACTTGTGAAGTCATTGGAGAGTGCAAGGTGACCTCTCAGGAAAGGGAGACTCTGTCAGTCCCACATTCTGTGCCCCTGACAGGCGAGGATGTGCCTTGATTTTGACCTTGGTTTTGCTACCTATAAAACCAGTCCTCAGGTGCCGTCTGCCCCTCTGCAACATCATTGAGTTGCCACGTGGTGATGAGCTCAAAGCACCTGACGACCCTTCAATATGGAGTTTAGGATGTGCCCCCGTTTTCTGGCATGTTCCACTTTGAGTCAGGAAGACATTTTTTTTTTTTAATGAAAATATGTTTCTATTGTTTCTTTAAAGTTTTTCTTGGAATTTTCCTGAATGGAAATGAAAACATCTAAGATTTTACATATATCTCTGTGTGTGTGTGTGTGTGTGTGTGTGTGTGTGTGTATGTTTACCTATTTACTTATTTATATGTTTATGCGTGTAGGTACTTCATCACACTATGAAGCTATGACATAGCACACTGATTACAATCCTGCTAGAGAGACTAAATGTTTTGCGATGGTTTAAAGCAGGAGTCAGCAAGCTTTTCTCTATAAGGGACCAGATAATAACTACGTCGGCTTTGTATGCCATGCGGTCTCTGACCAATAACTCGGTTTTGTCATGTGGCGCAAAAGCAGCCAGAGGCAATAATATATAAAAGAAAAAGTGTGTTCTGGTAAAACTACGAACACTGATGATTGAACTTCCTAGAATATTTATAAAAAGGACTCTTCCTTTGTTTCTTTCACCAAATCTTTAAAAATGGAACCCTCCCCCTGCTTTGCAGGACATACGTACATAAACAAGAGGCTTGCCAGATTTGGCCCATGAGCCACGGTCTGCTGACCCAAGCTTTAAGGTTCTGGCATAAGGTGTTAAATATAATTTCTGTATAGCTTTCAAGTCCTGTGACATAACACTTCTAAACCTGGACCAGAAGCAAGGGCTTAGTCATTTTTTTTTTTCCTTTGGAGTTCAAGACCTCAGAGGCGCCCAGAGATTTATTTGTATTCACTAGCCTTCTGCCTCCCCCTGGCCAGTGACAAGATGGCACCATAGTCCCTGGGCTCACCAAGCGTCGCCCAATCCCCTCAAAACCCTAGAGTCTCTCCAGCTTAGAGCCCCCTCAAGATGGGCTACTCTGGGCATGTCGAGTTTCTCTACAGGGAAGCACAAAACCGCCAAGAGCCCCCTCTGTCTCCTGTCATCGGACACAGTTTCCTCTTCATCCTTCAGAAGCTTTCCAGATGAATTGACCTGGAAGCTTCCTCCAGATTTGGTCAGGCCCATGGTTTTAATAATGAAACCACTTCCATTGCTAGAAATGTCCTCCGTCCCTCCCCCAGGCTGGCTGACCATCTCCTAGATGCTCATTGTCTACTGTATGAGTCAGGGGTCTCCCAAGAAACAGAGTCTACAGTCCACATCTGCAAAACACCTCCACAGCAAGACCCAGATCAGTGTTTGACCAGACAACGGGACCCCACCGCCTCGGCAAGCTACACATAAAATTAGCCATGGCTCCTGTTTTGGACTGAATGTATCCACCTCCCAAATTCATGTGGGAGGTAACAGTATTAGGAGGCGGGGACTTTGAGAGGTGATTATGTCATGAGGGGGGAGCCCCCACGAATAGGATTAGTGTTCTCCTAAGAAGAGACCCAAGAGAAATGATTTCTCTCCCAGCTGTGGGAACCTGTCAGCAATCGGGCGGCGGGTCTCCCCGGACACTGGATCAGCTGGCTCCCCGATCTCGGACCACGCAGCCTCCAGGACTGTGACCCACGACGAACCAGTGCTCGTTGGTTAAGCTCTCAGACTGTGGTGTTCTTATTACAGCAGCCGAGCAGACAGATAATCCCCAAACCCAACAGGCTGAGCAAAGCTAGGAGCGTGGCCATGGTGTTCCCGTGAGGAGTTAGAAGTGCCTTATTCTCTCCTCCGAAGCTTCTCTTCTGCGACTGACTTGGGGGGAGAAACAAGGAAATTTTACTTAATAAATGTGTTTGAATGAATACACAAACGATTGCGGGTTACCCAGCTCACTTCTCCTTCCGGCTCTGCCTGAAGGGCCAGTGTTAGTGTCCCAGGGCCCAGTCATGCTCTTGAGGAACCCGCGTCTATTATACAATTTAATTATGCAAATCAATAGAAAAGGATGCCACCCCCTGGGAGTAACATACACATACTTGGACCCCAGTGAGGCGCTCTGAACCCCACAGGGCTCACAGGGCCCTCTGCGGGGTAGACCTGCAGTTGAGGGGAGTCTCGGATTGCAGAGTGACCAGAGCTGAGTGGCTTTTCTCGGATCTGTGGATTTCTTGGGGTGTTGGTTCTTTCATGCAAGGATATGCATATGGCCAAACCTGCTTTCCAGGGTGTATCAGCCTGGAGCCACTCAGGACACAGGACCGACCACATGGTACTTAAAACTGGGGATGTGTAACTGTAGGGATTGTTTTTTTTTTTGTTTTTTTTTTAATTTTTTTTTTAACGTTTATTTATTTTTGAGACAGAGAGAGACAGAGCATGAACAGAGGAGGAGCAGAGAGAGAGAGAGAGACACAGAATCTGAAACAGGCTCCAGGCTCTGAGCTGTCAGCACAGAGCCCAACACGGAGCTCGAACTCACGGACTATGAGATCATGACCTGAGCCGAAGTCGGACACTTAACCGACCAAGCCACCCAGGCGCCCCTGTAGGGATTGTTAAGCTATGATTTTGGAAAGTAAATATAAGGTGTAGAAAATTTTCTCATTGGTTCCCCAGGGCTATAGGAGAGTGCCCAAGGAAGGACGAACTTGGAATGGGAGTCCCCACCCCAGGTGGGGTACGAACCTCCATGGGGAAGGTATGGACGGCAGGGCAGTTGACAGGGTTGCCCAGGTAGGAGCTGGTCCACAGTTCCTGGGCAAGCAGAGTCACAGGCAGAGTCACAGGCTTGCAGGCATGAAGGTGCTGCTGTGGGTGGGGGGTCAGAGCCCCCAGCATCGTGTTGCAGGAGATACAAGGAAAGGATCGGCAGGCCAGGTGGGGCTGCAAGGTGGCATTCTGGGCATGTGGACAGCACACAGTGTCACCGATGTTCCTGCAGGCTTGTCCCTGACCATGAGCGCAGCCACTGGGGCCTGTAAGAGAAGTCCCTTCCTCTGGGCTGTCCCTCCAGAGTCCATAGGGAGAAAACTGATGTCATGCTTACCACAAGGAGAGATGCTTAATGGGATTCTTCCCATGGCCCCAGGGTAGGCACCAAAGGGGTGAATTTGGAGCTGAGAGGCAAGCCATTGATCACTAGCACCCGGAACGGCAGGAGGTGGAGGCGATCAGGAGGGCCAAGCCCTCGGACTGACCTGCAGTTCCCACGGTGTGCTACCCCCCCCCGTCCCCCCCTTCCCCCTGGGGGCTGCGGCTTCCCTTGGTGCCTCTCCATTTCCTTAACCCAGATGCTCCCTTACCAAACCTAAACCTCACTAGTTATGGTAAATGCCTCTGGGCCGGTTTTTGGAAGTCTGAAGAACGCCTCCCGGAGACGAATGTGCGGCCAGGAGATGGAGAGGCGGGAACACGTGGCCATCCCACAGGTCACACTGCTGCTTTCAGCCCAACAGACCTCCCCTTGCCCTTGCCCGCCCTGATGAGCTGTCTCATGTTTTTTGATGCCAGCCTGCAGCAATGTGCACAGAGCAAGGCACGAGAAGAGCTAATAGCTTTTGCCCTTACCTTTCTCGTCTCCACTCCTTAGTTAGGGCTGCTGGAAAGAAGAAACGCAAGCTAGGGGCCTTCAACAACAGGAATGCATCATCTCCCTGTTGGAGAAGCTGGAAGTCTGAGATCAGGGTGTAGGGGGGGCTGGTTCCTCCTGAGGCTGGGAGGGAGAATCTGTACCTGCCTGTGCCCCAGCTCCTGCTGGTTTGCTGGGAAGCTTTTGGCGTGCCTTGGCTGGTAGATATCACCCTGATCTCTGCCTTCACACTCACGTGGTGTCCTCCCATGTGCCTGACTGAGTCCAAAGTTCTTTTTATAAAGGAAACCAGTCACGTTGGATTAAGGGCCCCGCCTACTCCAGGATGACCTCATCGAAACTGAACTAGAACTTCCCTTTGCTTCTGGCAGGCAGTTGGGGTAAGTGAACATGACTTTATCTCTCTGGGATTAAGTTGATTCGAATCTGGGGTTCTCTAAAGCTCGGATCTAGTTCAGGATCATGATGTTTCCCAGGGTGTAAACGTTCAAGGGTGTCGCACGGAGCCCCGGGAGTGTGTATTTGGCTTCCCCCCCCCGGGTGGATCCTGAGCTGACTCTCACCTTCCCTGTGTTCAGACACACCCACCGGCTCCACATGGTTCCCAGCCGCCCCTGGGAGTGGGCAGACAGGTGTGTTGAGGGGAGAAAGCAGAGCCCAATGGCAATCTCGCATTTCTGTCCACGTCTTTCACCTGGAGTAGTGGCTTCTCAAGTTCTTGCTGCCTGGTAGTTAAGCATTGCTTTCCTTTTTTTTTATTTTTTTATTTTTTAGATTTATTATTTTTTATTTTTAATATAATTTATTGTCAAATTGGCTAACATACAGTGTATACAGTGTGCTCCTGGTTTGGGGGGTAGATTCCCATGGTTCATCACTTACATGCAACACCCAGTGCTCATCCCAGCAAGTGCCCTCCTCAATGCCCAAGTATTGCTTTCAAACTGACTTCTGTTAAACCCAGCTTTTCTATTTCTAGAATCAGAGGGTTCTAGTGGGTGGGTTGTCTGTAACAACTGCCCAAAGTGGAATTTTCCAAAAATTTGCAATTTAGAGTGCTATTTCCAAAGTCACATAGAGAGAAGCATCGATTTTTTTTTTTTTTTTTTTACAAAACCTACCCAATTTTTAAGATGTTCCATTTAGAGGCGACTGGGTGGCTCAGTCGGTTGGGCGTCCGACTTCAGCTCAGGTCACGATCTCGCGGTCTGTGAGTTCGAGCCCCGAGTCGGGCTCTGGGCTGATGGCTCAGAGCCTGGAGCCTGCTTCCGATTCTGTGTCTCCCTCTCTCTCTGCCCCTCCCCCGTTCATGCTCTGTCTCTCTCTGTCTCAAAAATAAATAAAACGTTAAAAAAATTAAAAAAAAAAAAAAAGATGTTCCATTTAAATAGAACAGAGCATTTTTGGGGCCGCCCGGGTGGCTCAGTTGGTAAAGGGTCCCATTTCGGCTCAGGTCATGATCTTGCCGTTCACAAGTTCAAACCCCGCGTCAGGCTCTGTGTTGACAGCTCAGAGCCTGTACCCTTCTATGGGTACTGTGTCTCCCTCTATCTCTGCCCTTCCCCCACTTATACTCTGTCTTTCTCCCTCTCAAAAATAAATGAAAACATTTAAAAATTTTAAATAAAAAAGCATTTTTTGACAAGAAAAGTGAAGGTTTGGGGAGCCTGGGTGGCTTAGTTGGTCAAGCGTTTGACTTCACCTCGGGTCATGATCTCACGGTTCATGGGTTCGAGCCCCGCATCGAGCTCTGTGCTGACAGCTCGGAGCCTGGAACCTGCTTCGGATTCTGTGTCTCCCCCCTCTCTCTGCCCCTCCCCTGTTTGCATGCTCTTTCTCTCTCTCAAAAATAAATAAACATTTTTTAAAAATTAAAAAAAAAAGAAAAGTGAAGGTTTCATCAAATCTCAAGAATAGAATAGAATGCTATTTGCTTGTGAGTTGATATTATTTTTGTAAATTCCAGAGTCGTTAAGATACAGTGTTATAATAGTTTCAGGTATAGGATATAGTGATTCAACAGCTGCATACATTATTCAATGCTCATCAAGATAAGGGCCGTCTTAATCCCCCCCATCACTGATTTCACCCATCCCACCACCACTCCACAACCCCTCTGGTGACCATCTGGTTGTTCTCTAGAGTTAAGGGTCTGTTTTTTGGTTTGCCTTTTTTCCCTTTGTTCATTTGTTGCGAGCTGATACCATTCAACTAATTCTAGGTAAACATATTATTTATCATCCAAGCTGCTATTTATCTGAGAGTGAATGGGGCTTTAATTACACAGGATACCAGGACAACAGGGGTAAACTACGATCTCCCTGGGTAAAAATGGAATGTGTGGTCACCCTACTGGCAGCCACCAATTTTAAAGAATTACAGCAAAACTTCAGTTGAAGAATCAAAAACTCTAAATGTGATTTGCTTTGAGATCTATCCTATCAATGATTCACAAGCAATTTAGGAGGAAAGAGCTACTGATTTCTCTTCCTCTTTATATGAAACATGTACTTCTAGTGGGAAAAAAATGTTAGGAAAAACCATTCTGCACTGTCAGATGCCATACAATGGTAAAATTTTAAAGAAACTTCAAACGGTTTAAAAATTAAATTAAGTTTACAGACTGGATGGCTAAGATGGGCAAAAACACGCTGTCTTGCAGAATTCGGTACAACCTTGAGTGTAGGATTTTAGGAAGTGATTTTGTTTCTCGGCTTGGGGCCTCTGTACTATCTGGATCAAGGTCATCTGTGGGTTTTATTAAACACAGGAAGATTCGGGGCACCTGGGTGGCTCAGTTGGTTAAAGAGAGCAACTCTTGATCTCTGTTCAGGTCATGGTCTCACAGATTGTGAGATCAAGCCTTGAGTCCAGCCCCGTGCTGTGAGCACGGAGCCTGCTTGGGATTCTCTGTCTCCCTCTCTCTCTCTGCCCCTCCCCCACTCCGTGTGTGTGTGTGTGTGTGTGTGCGCGCGCGCGCGCACGCACGCGTGCACTCTCCCTCTCTCTCAAAATAAACAAACACTTAAAAAAAAACAACCAGGAAGACTCAGAGGCCCCATCTCAGACCTGCTGACGCACCATCCCAGGAAAGGTTGGCCAGGGAGCATGTATCTGTAAGCTGCTCCTGGCTGGTTATCCTTTCTACGAAGTTCCAGAGCCCCTGTGGTGGCGGTGACGAAGGAGGGGAGAGGATTTGGACCGAGCCCAGTAAACGTGACCTGGAGCCACTGTCGAGAAAGAGGGAGACTTTCTTCTGGGCTACAGTACTTCCAGCTATGATAGAGTTCCTATCTCCCTTCAACCTTCTCTCTGCTTTTATTCCTGTGGTGTCTGGTCCCTGATGATTCCCTGCAGTTCTGACCTGTGGACTTTCTGCTCTACTTTTCAGGTTTCTTTCTACATCTGGAGACCACCTGTTTCCAGTCCAGGCCTGCTGTGCCCCGTGGCTTCAGGTGTCTGCGCCCAGGATGCTGGTCGCCCCGCTCCAGGGGCCTGGCCAGCTTCCAGAGCAGAGCAGCACATGCACAGAGTAGGAATTCAAACAGCGTGCTGCAAATCAGGGCAGTACTACCCATGGGCCCACTTAGAATAGGGCCAAAGCGCACTGAACCCTGACGTTATCTGCGAATTGCAGACAGTGAGGTAATTAACGTTCATAATGAGCCAGCTGAGTCACCGAAGGAAGAGGCAAATGGGTTCACCGCAGGCACTAAATGAATAATTCTTTTAGGAACGTCCCCATCGATAATTTTCAAAAAATCTGTAAGATTTTATCTTGTGAAACCATGCAACTAGAATACCACCAGCTCCTGATGATCCTTCGTAAATGAAGAATAACCGGATTGGGTGTTATTTTTTGCGGGAAGGAAAAAGAAGTTGCAATGACCTGTTTGTACACCAGAGGGCAGAGTTGATTTTCCTGTGGCTTTATTCATGTTATCTATTTATTATTTTTAGTAGGCTCTACACTCAAGGCAGGGCTTGAACTCACCACCCAGAGATCAGGGGTCCCATGCTCTACCGGCTGAGCCAGCCAGGCAACCACCTTTGCGGGTTGTTTTTTTTCTTTTATTATTTTTTTTAACTTTTATTTCTTTTTGAGACAGAGAGAGACAGAGCATGAACGGGGGAGGGGCAGAGAAAGAAGGAGACACAGAATCTGAAACAGGCTCCAGGCTCTGAGCTGTCAGCAGGGAGCCGGACGCCAGGCTCGAACTCGCGGATCACGACCTGAGCTTAAGTCGGATGTTTAACCACTGAGCCACCCAGGCGCCCCGGGTGTGTGTTTGTTTGTTTGTTTGTTTAAAGCTGACTTTACAAAATACCTGACTGCCCATTTTGTATAATATACAGCCTATTAGCAGCAGATCAACATCAGGTTGATAGAATTTGGGTAACACCTTTTCAGCAAGGGCATTGCACACTAGCATCACTTTACCCTAAGCCTTTCCCTGGAGAGGTGGAATTTTAGGTGTTCTATGTGATTTGGCTAATTGTACCTATTCTGTCAAAAAATTGTGTTTGAATACCACCTGTAGTTACTATCAAATTGACACAATTTCTCATGTAATTTAAAATTTTTTATGCACAATTATATAATTGGCCAAACATTCCAATGGTTTAATAGAACCTCAAGTATACAGTTCCCCGTGTGTGTGTGTGTGTGTGTGTGTGTGTGTCTGCTACTCTTAGTAATTAAAATGAACTAATTTGTACACTTATTCCTTTTGTGTGCTATTTATTGTCATCATTTTACTTTTTCCCTATTAATTTTTTTAAAACGTTTATTCATTTTTGAGAGAGAGAGACAGAGGGTGAGCAGGAGAGGGGTGGAGAGAGGCGGACAGAATCCGAAGCAGGTTCCAGGCTCTAAGATGTCAGCACAGAGCCTGAAATGGGGCTCGAATCCACAAACCGTGAGATCATGACCTGAGCCGAAGTTGAATGCTTAACCAACGAGCCTAGGCGCCCCTACTTTTTCCCTATTAAAGTTGAAGAGCAAAAACTAAAATACTAAGAAATAAATTCTTCTTTAACAGCTAGTATAAGAAACATTCAATATGCCCACTATAATAAAATAGAACCTTCTCTTTAGTTCTGGTAGTGAATGGCTATTCGGCAGACACAAATATCCATGTAGGATACACTAGCATACAAACCTCAGAATTTATCTTTAGATTTCAAAAGTGAAATTATAACAAAACTTTGGGACCATGAAGTGTCTTAGTTCCTGT